CCCCCCCCCCCCCCCCCCCCCCCCGTTCTGTCATGACAATCCATTTCTGACCCCAGTTTCTTCCCTGAAGTGTGAGATGATCCCTCCGTCCCTGTTCCGTCTTCTCTCCTCTCAAATTTCTAAGGAGCAAGGTCCACGCCATCAATACCGGGGTTCTATGGTTTGGACATTTCTGTACGCCAGGCTGACCCTCACCGCCGCCCACCGTTAGCCTACTGTACTCCCAACTTGAGAGACGTCCGAACAGCCGGCCCGGCTGGGCGCCTGGCAAATTCCCATGACTTTCCAGCTGAACCGGTTACCGTCACAGCTCCCAGGAGAAGAGAATTATTATGAAGCTCCTCACCTCTTTCATATACAGGCTGGGTTTCTTCGTGAGTATTCCAGCCCAGCTGTTCCTGTAGTACCCGGTATGTATTCCAACATTCTTTCTGGAACACACCCATTGGTTGGGGCTCTGCGGGCTTCCACTTAAGGCCTGGGGCCACTGCTGTTCCTCCCAAGGGCACTGCCTCCTTTTCCCGATCATGGGCTGTGACCTAGAAATAATCCCCATCCTCATTAGCACAGAACTTACTTTTGGTTTCGGGGTGGTGGCAGAGGGATGAACGAGAGAGCCCAGATTCAGGAAAGGGCGTGGCACTCAAGGAAGTAACAAAAAACCCTAAAGCGATATTGCGTCACCATTTCCTCACAGAGAACCATATACATCGTTGGGGGAAATTAGTGTAAGATGAAATGAGCTGTGACTGCTGCCAGCCTCCAGCCACACAGGCCACAGCTCAGGCCACGAGCAGGGTGGGGGCAGGCTGCCTTCACGAGCTTGCTTTCTGGACGTGGATCCTCATCCAAGGGCGTTTCTATCTTCTGAGTTTTTCTCTAAATAATAATGAGTTGGATTAAAAAAAAAAAAAAAAGATTCTCAGATTTTTTTCCAATCCTCTCATGGTCGGGAAAGGATGTCATGGAGAAAGGGGATGCGGGAGAGGAAAAACCGGGGGAAAATTTGGACTCTAACCTCCCTCCGTAGGATCCAGTTGTAGAGAGACACCAAAAATAGACCCTGCCCTGTGTTCCTCAAGGCGGGCTCCCCATGGAAAGGAAGGGTGCTGCCTTCTCCCGAGGGCATATCCTGGTTCCCCACTCCCCAGCAAGGCCAAGGGCAGACCACTAAGGGAGAGTGACGGAAGGTTTTCTTCTGGCCCAGAGATACGTGCGCCCACCAGACAGGGCACTACCCTGCAGCATCCTGATTCTGTCCACTCCCCTGTTGGCATTTTTTTTTTTTTTTTAGTCATTTTTCTTCTTTCTGGATCCTTGTTTCACTTTTTCCTTTCCATTTCTCCTCTTCCTTCAGTCCACACAGAGCTGATTAATACTTCTATTAACCACCCTCTCTCTCCTTTGCTCTCGAAGTGCTGTGCATTTTTCCCCCCGATTTTTCCTCCTTTGCCTACTCGGTCTTGCCTTTTATTTCTCTGCCTCCACGAACTCAAGTCCTCTCTCCTTGGCCATGCCAGACTAGGCCCACCAACTCTAGTTCACCCCGGCCCGAAAAAGGGCAAAAGGCATTTCTTTTTTCTAAGGCCCAGAAAGATGGCCAGAACTCTGAAACCTGCCGTCTGCAACTGCTGCCCGCCTGTGACTCCAGACCCTGCCTAGCTGTCCTAAAGGAACAGAAGAGTGGCTTAATCCACTCCATTCCCCCGCCCCAGATATATCCACCTTTACTCTGTTTTATTGTACATGTAAGGAATCCTCTCACCTCATCACTTATTCCACCAGGTTCCCTCTGAAAGCGCTCTACCAGGGCCACAGCCTCCTTGATGCTCTGTGGATGATACTTCTGCACCCAGCTCTGGGTGCTCCTGGGCAGAATGGTCAGGAACTGCTCTAACACCAGCAGTTCCAAGATCTGCTCCTTCGAGTGGATCTCTGGCCTCAGCCACTGGTGGCATAATTCCTGAAGCTGGCTGACAGCTTCATGCGGCCCAGGTGCTTCATGGTAATAGAAGCTCCGGAAGTGCTGGTGAGCGCTCTCAGGACCAAGACTGTCCATTCGTGGGCTGGATTTCTTCCTCTCACCGGAGCGCTCTTTCACGGACTCCTTAGTTTCCCATAAAGCCTCCATGTGGGGGTACAAGCGTGCCTTCACCTCTAGATGTCTCATCATCATCTGCTCTAGGAACAGTTTTACTCCTATGTGTGACATCCTCCTGGGGCCTTGGACAACTGAGGCCTTGTCAGGTTTGGTATAAAACCAACGAGCGGATCTTCTCAAGGGCACTGAAGGAGGGGAGAAAAGAAGTACATGTCAAGAAGAAAGCCACATGGCACACGTTTACTTGCCATTTACGGTTGTAAGAGAAGAATGAACAGAAAAGAACCTGTTCAATCTCCCTTTTAAAATCAACCGCCACGTATTAGGACACTCGTGATCACAGATTACTTCAGAATGCACATTTCTCTCTTTTTTTCTCTTACTCAGCTTTGACACAAAGCAAGGCTCAGAAAAAGCAAATGTCAATTGATAACTTTCCTTTTTAAAAAAAAAAATTTTAATGTTTATTTTTGAGAGAGAGAGACAGA